TAAACAAATTATGTAATTTAAAAAAATAAACATTTAAAGGTTGGAAATTAGAACTTAACTATTGCATTTATTATTATGTAAAAAAAATTAAGCCCAAAGTGAAATTGTGCATGTTATCCAATTTCTTAATTTATTATTATTATAGAACTTATAGAACTGGTAGTCCAACTTCATGTTAAGATTATCGCTTAGTGGTATTTGTTTACCCTGGCAAAAAATACATCAAAATAAAGGTTTTTTCATATATCTGTTATTTTTATGATTCAAGTAACAATTTGATCAATTCATGCAAGTTTGTGTATGAAAGCGTGATTTTTTTCTTCATTTTTTCATATAAAATTACGTGTTGGTCAAAAAAATTTTATTAATGAGTTGACACTTGACCCCCTGTAGATCCGTAATGTCCAATATAATAAATGTGAGAATTTGAAAGAAAAACTTGGCAAGAGCTTTATTAAATGGGTATACAAGTCCCAAAATTATAAAACATGTGTGTTTTACTTGTCTAGAAGCTTACCCAGGATTAAGATGTACTAATATATAGCATATTATTCTAATAAATATATATAATAATTTTAATTTTTGATATTCGTTAGAGTAATTTTATTTTTTTTAATCTTAAGAATCAAAATAAAATAAAATAAAATAAGAAATTACTTTGTCGTTTTGTAGTCGTGACAAGAAAAGTTTAATTGTGACAGATCATAAAAAAAATAAAGAAAATAATCTAATAAATGGTAATAGCAGTTACCATGGGAATATGGGAAAGAATATATTTGTCCTCTGTAGCAGAAATGTAGAAATGTTAAATATGCATGAAGAAGTTTTGGAGAAATTTTTCTAATTAAAAAAATTTCTTTGCAACGGTTAAATGGACATCACCCTAACATTAATCAGATGTTTTATGACTTATAATTTTTATAACGCTAAAAACATTTTCTCAAACAACAACATTTTAATTAGAATAGTAATGGTTACTAATTATTGACGGGAAATGCGTGAAAAATAAAACGACCGGTTTTACTAAATCTTAGTGATAATAGCGTGGAAAGATTGTGTAAGAGGTGAGTGTGAACGAATGGATTAAAATCAAGAAATATTAGCATGCAGTTGGTATTGACGTGTCGAGGATAATTTTAGCTTAGAAACGGATTACGCATTGTGTTTTATAAAAAATTTAGAGGTATTTTTTCTTGTTGAAGAAGAATTGAATATAATTTATAATGCAAAGTACTATATATATTTATCATATATATATATATATATATATATATATATATATACCATGTATTTATAAAATTCATCGCATACATATGTATATTTGTTCTATTATATTAATAAATATTGAATTTTATTTCATAAATGTATAAAAATCTTAATAATGAAACACCTTAATAATTAAATATTAGAAAGTAAAACATTAAACGTGAGTAGTATGCTAATTATTCCTACTGCTAACGAAATATTTGATGATAATGATGGTGATGATGATGATGATGATGATGATGATGATGACGGGTTAGAACTGTATGGTGTTGGTGATGATATTGGCTTCACTGTCGATGCCGCTGCTGTAGTTGGTGCCATGGAACTAGTAGTAATTGCTGGAGTTGGGCTAGTAGAATTATCACCAGGAAAACCAGGAAATTCACGATATGGAGATTCAGATACACACTTGGCCACTTGTTCTACTTGAAAATTAGCACCCAAAACAATATCAAGGGATGGAATTGCCATTTTAGCAGCTATAGGATACAAATCATGTTCCAAAGAAATATGACCAGTGGTTGCGGTTGTATTTTTTACCCATTCAGTAAAATCTGTAGTAATAGAATCCGGTACAAAACCTTGATTTGTTGACTCCCAATCATCTGTGTCATGATCCCATATAACAACTTTATATCCTAATAAGGCAAGTATACCTCTAACACGATTATCTATATCGCCATATGGTGGTCTCATAAAGCGAGGGGTCACTCCAACTGTTTCTTTGATGATTTGTTCAGTCCATTTTATCTCGGCTATAATTTCTTCGTTTGTTTGAGATGTTAAATATGAGTGCGACCAAGTGTGGACTCCGATTTGATGTCCTATAAAATTGTAAATTATCATTCATTAATGTCAAAATTCATATAATTTTAATTTTATAGACGTTTTTAATTCACCTTCATTAACAGTTCTTTTTAAAATATCAGGATTTTCCGTAACTCTGGAGCCAACAATGAAAAATGTTGCTTTTACATTTTTTGCCTTAAGATGATCTAAAATTGCCGGTGTATATTCTCTATTTGTTTATTTATTTATAAAATAAATATTTATTATTATTTCGAGTTCGAATATATAGATAGATAAAAGAAAATGAAATTTTATTTTATTTTACTTACGAAGGACCATCATCATAAGTTATACCCCATACTATGTTTCATAAAAATTAATTAATAATTAATTAATTAAATACACTTAATTATAACAAAATATAACAAAATTTGAAATTTTACCATTTTTATCAGGACAACGATCATAATCAATAGTTTGATTTATGCAATTTGTACAACTCCAATTACAAAATGGGTCATTAGCAATACAATCCGTACCTACTTTATTTTTTGGAACGAGTGGAGCCTTTGGGACTTGACTCAAGTCGATTGCCCATTCTGGTCTAAACGGTGGTGGTACATCAACTGGTGGATAAGTTGTAGGCACTTGCGCCTCTATGAATATTGCTGATGACAAAATAGCAATAACAACAAATAATTTCTTTGCCATGATTTCTTCGTGATTTTATTATTAAACAAATTTTTTTTACTAGATTTTTAATGTTGTTATTGTTATAAATGTCTTTATTTATGACAAAAAGATGTAAAACAAATTTGTTCAAAGAAAAAAAAATTTTCAGGGAATGTTATTTTTTCAAGTATTTATATAAAGTTTTTTTTGTTATTTGATATAAAGATTGCTCTCATTGACCACTTATAATGATATATATATGTATTAAAACGCATGTTTGAATTGTGATTGTTGTCATAGTTTTATAAAATCATAAATGGTTAGTGAAGCTATTATTAAATTGTATGAAAGAGCATAACACTTATATTAATATCTACAAGGATGGATCTTTGCCTTCACTCATTCATTCTAAAAACTTTGCCTCTCTCCCTGGCAGATCTTTTGTCTCTATTTTTAATTTGCTAAAAATAAATAAGGAATCTCGAATTTAAATAATATAATGTTTTTTGACAATTACTGTTTTTAGAAAGATTTTAAAATGCTATTTGGTCATTTAAAAATAAAACAAACACTGGATATAGAATGATCAATCTAATTTACTTGGCAACTTGGCATATAATGAATGAAAAAAGCATGATAATGCGTGCGGTCAAAGTTTTAGCCAAGATTCATTCCATTGGCTAGCTACCACGTGATGTTAGATCCTTTGCACATCTCATACTCTATAGTAGAGATTTTCAAACCTGTCTATTTAAATGTCCGCCTTTGGCAATAAAATCAAATTATAAGGTAATTCAACAAAGAACAAAAGGCAGAAAAGCAGAAAGGTAGAAAATAATTCCGCACACGACAATACATACAAAGTGCATATCGATTGATAAATTTCAAAACCGAATCTGTATGTTATAGATAACGATTATTTTATAAATCATCTTGATTTATCGGTTCATATATATTTGATTTATCGGATATTCTTTAAGAACCATAATGAAGATCATTGCTATTTTGAACTAGTGTAAATTGCCAGAATTTTTTAGTACCTCTGGAATGGTTGAGAGCGCGTGCATTTTAATAGAGAGAAAGAATTTTATTGGTTCCACGCGACACTTGTCATACAATGTTAAAATAAAATTGTTCATTGTGGTTTGCTTCATTGAATTTATTTTTTTAAATTGACATCCTGATCAACAAAATTAACTTGTTCTTTAGAATTTTCTTGTTGTAGTAAAAAAGCGTGGACAACTTCCAAACTTTTTTCGAACTTATGATTAAAGTGCTATAATCATCTTCTTCATTATTATCAGTAAATACTTTTGGTTTCTTTTTATATATTTAACCAGGACATATAATCAAATTAATTCTTTATCAATTTAATTCTCAAAGAGGGATTAATAGAGAAAGAAAAAAGAAAAAACAGCGACAATGATTGATTTATTTTCTTGCTGCACATTAATCACGTGAAAGTCACGAGCGTGCATTTAGAGAATATAAATGGGACTGGGAAAAAATAATGCGATGTAGAGTATGAAGGGTGCGTATTTATCTCTAACCTTCAAAGTTGGTAATGAGATATGTATTTATGGAGTGTATGCATTTATAGAGAGGGTGGTGCACTTATGGAGAGATTAACATATAACTGATATCACGTGATTTAATTATAAAGATGCTTTTTACAGATATCTCAAATTAACGAATAAAGAATATACCCATTAAATCGAGATACACTGTAAAAACATGGAATCACGTAACCAGTACAAAATAGATTAAGATCGTGTAATAAAGTTCGATTATATGCACAATGATCATTGTACACTGTTCCCCAAAAAGACACACGCTCATGTTAAAATTATCAAAAGATATGTTTAACATGTAACGTGCAAATTGAAATTAATGACCAACAAATTTGGAAACTTCGCTACTAAAAAACTATATTAATATAGAACGATTTTATAATATTCTTCACATATAAATTGTCGATCTTTTTTGAAATACAGACCGATCATTTCTAGATATGTTAATAAACCGTGCCCAATAACAAAAAAGGTTAATACACTTGTAAGTAAATTTAGATATGAGTTAACAATAGTAATGGTGACATTTTTATACCGGGATCTCGATTAGAATTTTCCTGCAATGCGCATATGAATAATAAATTTCCAATAAAAAATTATTTATTATTATTATTATTATTAAAAATTATATGGTTATATTTTGAAACAAAATTCGGGCACAATATTCTATTTAGAAATTCTTTTCTTATACATGGCTAATTTTTATAAATTTTCTAAATTCAGTATATATATTGTAATATTTATAATAGTTACACAACAAAAGTTCTCATCAAATTTTCCAGAGTCCTCCACTCTCATTTAAAAAAAAATGATGATAAAAATATATTTGTGGAAGATAAAGAGGAAGATAAAGAGTCTGAGGAGATAAAAGGAAATTTTTTTCCTTTGATAATACTCGCTTTATTTGTCAATTATTTCAAACAAATAATTAAATCATCAAATAAAATTTTTTTTAATTGTTTTCCTTCTAATAATACTAAATTACATACATGCGGAAATACAAAGCACCTAATTTGGTTAAACCATTAATGCATAAATAATAAGTATTATTGACCTGTGCTAATGTTTATTTTTAACGAGAAATGTTATTGACACGATTTATATTGCATCTATAAAGAAATTTATATAAATATATTCAAAATTCCCAAAAAAACAAAAAATTAGCGAGATTTGAAAATATATATTTTTTTTTATTTAAATAGAAAACAAATCTTTTTTTTTAATATAAGCGAATATTTTTTTACATTGGTTTTTTATCTGTTGACCGGATACACCAATTACCTACATTCTCTTGCACATACTTTACATCCATAACAATATATACCGCCTCGCCTCTATTCGAAAAAAAATAAAAATTTTGTTTTGCGCCAAGACTTTTTCAATATTGTAATTGAATAAAATGAATATAAGGACAAATTCATTATTATTTATTGGACTTTTATTTAGTCTGTTAACATTATCACCAACACCCATAGAGGCGCAACTAAAAGGTTACCCACCTTTAGATGTAACTCCGCCATCAGTTGCAGAATGGAATGCTTTGGTTGACATGACCAAAATTCCAAAGGCTCCTGTTAGGAAAGTGCCAAGTGATTGTACTGACACACTAGACACTTTTTGTACTTGGACTTGTACTCTCTGTACAAAACCAGACGATATCGTGAGATGTCCTAAACAAAATGGTAAATATATATATTATTTTTTTTTTTGCAACTTTTAAATTACTGAAACGAAAAAATCATTAATTCTTTTTTACTATCATTATTGAAGACTGGGCTATAACTTACGATGATGGTCCTTCGTAAGTGTTTTATTTTAATAAAAATCGTTGTTAATTAGAATATTATTTCTAATTTATCAATCAACTTTGCTAATTTTTTTTTTGCATTTTTTTTTTTTATGTGTGTGTGTAGACCATTTACACCAATAATTTTGGATCATCTTAAAGCAAAAAATGTAAAAGCAACATTTTTTGTTATTGGCTCCAGAGTTATGGGAAATCCTGATATTTTAAAAAGAACTATTAGTGAAGGTGAATTAAGAACATCTTTAAATTCTTTTTATTTTTTATCATTAATAAACAATATTAACATTTATAATTAATAATTTATAGGACATCAAATCGGAATCCACACTTGGTCACACAAACCTTTAACAACTCAAACAACCGAAGAAGTTATATCTGAGCTAAAATGGACTGAAAAAGTCGTCAAAGAAGTAACTGGTGCAACTCCCAAGTTTATGAGACCACCACAAGGAGATTATGATGATCGTATAAGATTCATAGCGAAATCATTAGGTTATAACATTGCTATATGGGATTATGACACTTTTGATTGGAAGTCAAACGGAGATCCAACCTTTGATTTAAATTGGATTACTGGAAACTTTACTCAATGGGTAGCAAACAAAACAACCGGTCATATGACTTTGGAACACGATTTGTACGAACAAACTGCCAAAATGGCACCTAAAGCTATCGACATTGTCTTGAATGCTGGTTGGAATATGAAAGATATTGCAACATGTTCAAATCTACCAGCATACATTGAATCTACTACTAACTCATCAACTCCTCCAAAATTAGATCAAAATCCTAACACAGCTAAAACTTCAGCGCCAACAACCTCACCTGTAAACCCTAATTCTGCCGCAAGAAATAATAATAATAATATTTATGTTTGGATTATTAGCACAGTCATTTTTTCAATCTTTTTTTTTTAAATAATACATAATATAATAATATAATAATATAATATAAACAAAAATGTATAGATTAATATTTGCATATATTGTTTTTTTTTGATATATATATTAATATTGCATTTTTTATTTTACTTATTTGGCATGTTTATGCGTTCAAATAAATTGTTAAAAAAAATAAATAGAAAGTACAATCTAATACATCTATAGCCGAAACCTTCTCGCGTAAGTTTCAACCGTGTTTTTAAAACGTGATAATCCTGAGATTTGGCCGAAATTGTAAAATAACAAAAAAAAAATTTACTTCAGCCGAGGTGCACCCTAAATATAAAAATAAAAATAATTTTGGGGGGGTTTTATGAAACAAAAGTTATCACCCAAATTTAAAAAAAAAGTCTTGGCTAATTTTGATTTTCTTTACACAGTTTATTGCATAAACTTAATTCTTTTTTTTTAAAAAAAAAAGGAAGGGAGACTTGACGAAAAGTCGCTTCAAATGGGTATTTGCACCACAGGGTCTTAATTTTCATCTCATCGTTAAAACCAAAAAAAATTCTCCAGGGTTTCGGTCAAGTTCTAGTAAAGTTAAAACAATCTACTATATTTGGGAACCCAGCCAGAACCTCTGTAATACAAATTGTAAAAGTGGGAAAAAGTTTAAACTTTGAATTGGTTTTATTCATATGTCCATTAATTTTAATTGAATAAATTTTAAAATTCTTTTTTTAAAAATAACGTAATAACCACGATGTATATTAAATATGAAGGGAAATCCAGGATTTATTTTACCCTATGATGATCCAGTAATTTAAATTAAATATTGCCATATACACATATAATCTAAAAACAGAAAAGAAAATAATAATAGAATTTTAAAATTCATTTATTCTTTATATGTAGATAGATAATCAAATTCAAATAACACACATTATTTTATTTTATTCTATAACACTTGTTTTCATTATATGTAACTTCAACAAAATCGGTTATTGGTAAATGACCTTTTTGGAGTTTTGTGCAAGTCTTGGCCTGATCACTTATTATTTAGTAAAATCCCACATATATAACGGCAATGTATTTTTTCTTCTCTCGATATCAACAACCATTAGAAAAAGTAAAAATTTTTCTCATTATCTTCGTCGTTTCACCTTTCCTTCCTTCCACATACTTCCTTTCACTTCCTTCCTTATAAAAAAAAAAAACTCCATATTCCTCCACATTCTCTTGCCCTTCCTAACGGGATTTTATTTTTTAACTAAACAAAAAATTCCCGTACCTTGCTTTTCATTATATAAATAATAAAAATTTGAACCATCAAAAAAGAGTTCTTATCATATAACATATTAAAAAAAAAATATACATAAATATAAAACAAAAAATAAAAAATGAAAAAAGATACATTATTATCAATAATCTTGGGATGTTTGTTGGCATTGGCACCATTGAATATAGAGGCTCAACAGAAACTAAAAGGTTACCCACCAGTTGATGTAGCGCCACCAGCTAATGCGAAATTTACTGCTTTGGTTGATTTGACTAAAGCTCCAAAAGCTCCAGTCAGAAAAGCGCCAAGTCAGCCTTGTGATGGTAATTCTGACCCCTTTTGTTATTGGAGTTGTACACTTTGTTTAAGACCTACCGATATCCAAACATGTCCCAATGCAAAAGATTGGGGCATTACATACGATGATGGTCCTTCGTAAGCATATTGATTGATAATAATATATAATCTATCTCTTTTGTTCAATTAAAATTTTATTTATTGAACCAAAATATATTATTATTATTATTATATAGAGAATTTACACCAGCAATTTTAGATCATCTTAAGGCAAAAAATGTAAAAGCAACATTTTTCGTTATTGGTTCTAGAGTTAGCGAACATCCTGAAATTACAAAAAGAGCTTTTGATGAAGGTAAGACAAGCTCCCGATTTTTCTCGTGATTTTTTTTCTAACCAAAAAAAAAAAAAATAGTAAAATGAATTTCCTCTCTTATTTTTTTTTAAAAAAAATTTATTATAGGGCATCAAATTGGAATCCACACTTGGTCACACACAGCATTAACAACACAAAAAAGCGAAGTAGTTATAGCTGAGTTGCAATGGACCGCAAAAGCCATTGAAGAAGCAACTGGTAAAAAACCTGTAATCATGAGACCACCACAAGGAGATCATGATGATCGTATAAGATACATCGCCAACCAATTAGGTTATAAAGTTGTTATATGGGATAAAGACCCGAACGATTGGATGGTCTCAGAAAAGCTAAACTATGATGTAAACTGGATCGCAGGAAACTTTTCTGAATGGGTAAAAGAACCACCATCAAAAACTGGTCATATTTCCTTGGAACATGATATGTTTAAACAATCTGCCGCCAAAGCTCCACTAGCTATTGATATAGTTATGGGCGCTGGATTCAACATTAAGACTGTTGCTGATTGTGTAGGCCAACCTGCTTTTGACGGTGATACTACTAGCAACACCACCGCCGTTCCTTCTGCCTCAGCAGTTGCTGCTCCTGCTGCTAGCACTCCTGCTGCTAGCACTCCTGCTGCTAGCACTCCTGCTGCTAATCCTCCTGCTGCAAATACTCCTGCTGCTTATCCTCCTGCTGCAAATGCTCCTGCTGCAAATACTCCTGCTGCTAATCCTCCTGCTGCAAATAAAAAAGCTTCATCTACATCTATTAACAACTATCAATACAGTTCTTCTCCTTCTCCTTCTGCTTCTCCTTCTCCTTCTGCTTCTCCTTCTTCTGCTAATTTATTAACAGTTAATTCCTTTATTGGGCTTAGTATAACAGCATTCATTACAATTGTTTCATATTCACTAACTTTTTAAATAATAATGGTAATAATATAATAGCAATAATAATAGTAATAATTTTCTTTTACTCATACAATAATAATACATTATAATTTTTATTTATTTATTAATTTAATTTACATATTAATAATATAATAATTACTAAAAAATTACAGAGATAATCAACATAGTAATAGTAAATTTGAAATTTTTTTTTTGTACTAAACATAGAACATGGGTATGGGTTGGGTTTTTATTACGAAAAAATCTTTTAAACAATAAATTTTCTGCCTAAAGTTTGGTTTTTTTATTATTATCAGAATCCGTTTTTTAATTAAAGCTCTTACCATTTGTCATAAATAGTATCCATAATATATGCTAGAATAAATATAAATGCGTTGATAGACTCTGCAGATCACTAATAGATTTTCTACACATGATTGAATTAAATTGTTCCAAATTCACCCTAACAAACCAGTGTTTCACTCCTTTTTTTTTTTTTTTCATATAAATAACTTAAATTAAATGTCTCTCTTATATTCCCATTAAAGACTTTTCGCATAACAAATAGTTACTCGATAATTTTAGTAATGTGTAAAAAAGGAAAAAAACCAATTATGTTATTATACAACAAAGTTCATGCCAAGAAATTAACAAATTGTAAATAAAAAAAATAAAAAAATAATCTAAATCATATTATTTGTGTAAGATATAATTTTGCAAATGACAATGCTACTTGTAGGATAGTATGCATGCACGTAAGAGGATTCCAAATTTGATTAAAAAATAAATTGCCAAGGAATTTAAAAAAATCTGTCGATCACTATTAAAATCATTTTGCTTATGTTTTTTGCAATTCTGCCAACGATTTTAAAAATAATAAAATTGTAAAATATAAAATTATTTAATTAAAAATTATTATACTCGGTGAAATTAAAAATCAATTAGAATATAATATATCATATTTAATTCTTTTAGTGAGGTTTCTGAAAGATTCATCAGAAGAACTTTCTAGCATGATACAGTAATTGACCATCAAGTGACCAGGGTGTCAACGTCTTCCCATTATTAATTAAAAATTTTTAACAAAATCGTGACTTGCTTTTTTACAAGATATTCAACACTTACAAATCTAATATTTCTGCGTTTTCTGCAGCTCTCTGCTTAATCTTAATGCCGAGGATCATCGTCACTGCACATACTAGTACATACACTGACTGACTAATTAGATAGCTTGGGTTAGATTGCCTAGAAAAATTTTAATGATTGATTGATTGATCATCTATTGCTAATTATTCAAATTTACGCAAAATCCTACATAATAATAACAATGAAATTTATATCAACTTATAACTTAGGTTATCAAGAATATGAGTGCAGAATTTTTAGAACTTCAGCCAGTGTAAATAAAAATAAAAAATATGGTATATAATTAAAATCGCATTTATATTTTTTCAATAATTAATATTAACAATAGATTATCATTGCCGTTTTCGTCGAGTTTCGGGTTTTTAATATCAAATAGGTGTTTGAATACTTTTGTCCAGGGAGTGTGTGCATATATATATTTATACCTTGAATTAATTTATTATAATCATTATTTATTTTTATTATGATGACTGACAAAGAATTTTAGATAAATTACTAATAAAATTAAAGCAACAAGTATTGCTATTATTAAAAATGTGAGAAACCAGTTGGTTTCCATATTATCTATTATTATAGTGCGGGGCATCTATAATGGTCAATGATTTTAAAAGTTTATAACTCCTTATTAAAGATGCTGTTGCTGCTTTTGAAACTGTTCACAAATTTTTTGAACAAGATAATGATGATTTAGAATTAGATTATCATGAACTTAATTTACATAATTTTAAAAGTTTAAGCCAAGGAAAATTAACTTCTTATTTTCAGCCCATGCGGACAATTTCCGAAAGGTTACACCTTTATCCCTCAGTTCGTAGGGATAAAGCCTCGGCCTGGGAAATCATATAAGAGGGATATCCCCCCTTATCAATCTTATCGATCTTTGGGTATCGGTCGGATAATTCACT